AGTCTCCTGCCTCAGCCTCTCAAGTAGCTGGGACCACAGGCACCTGCCATAACGCCTGGCTATTTTTTGGTTGCAGCCATCATTGTTGTTTTGGTGGGCCTGGGCTGGATTTGAACCCACCACCTTAGGTGTATGTGGCTGGTGCCTTAGCCACTTGAGCCACAGGCTCCGAGCCCTAATTTTCTTTATAGAGGTCCTTCACCTCTTGTTAAGTACATTCCTAGGTATTTCATTTTCTTTGGGGCTATGGTGATGGGAGTTGTGTCCTTAATTAGCTTGTCAAGATATGTAGAATTTTAAATGTAAATGTTATTGCTGGCTCCTGAATTAGCCAAATTGCTTATTTTATTATGAAGTTCTCTTTAATGATGTCTGTTATACTTTTTTTTTTTGGAAGAACAATTTCTATGAGGGAAGTATCTTGGCTTCTCCCTTGAATTCCAGAAAATCTGATCCAGTCACAATCAAGTCTGAAAAGAAAAGTAAGAATAAACAAAGAAATGCTGGAGATATTCAGAAGTAAGTGAACATGACTATCTATTGTTTGGTGACCACCTACTGTATGCCAGTGTTTTTTGTTTACATAGACCTCTGATTATCAAAGTTTAGGTCTATGAACTCTTTTTTGTTGTTGTTTTGTTTTTTTGTTTTTTGAGACAGAGCCTCAAGCTATCCCCCTGGGTAGAGAGCTGTGGCATCACAGCTCACAGAAACCTCCAAATCCTGGGCTAAAGCGAGTCTCCTGCCTCAGCCTCCCAAGTAGCTGGGACCACAGGTGCCCGCCCCAACGCCCAGCTATGTTTTGGTTGCAGCTGTCATTGTTGTTTGGCAGGCCCGGGCTGGATTTGAACCCACCACCTTAGGTGTATGTGGCTGGCACCTTAGCCACTTGAGCCACAGGCACCAAGCCTTGAATTAATTTTTTGAGTGAAGAAAGGTGTGGGTCTAGTTTCAGTCTTTTACATGTGGATATTCAGTTCTCTGAGCACGATTTAGTGAATATGGAGTCTTTCCCCCGGTGTATGTTCATTGGTTTATCAAAGATTAGGTGGTTGTAAGATGTTAGTTTCATTTCCTGGTTTTCTATTCAATTCCAAATGTTTATGTCTCTATTTTTGTGCCAGTACCATGCTTTCTTGACCACTGTGGCTTAAAATCTGGTATGCTGATGATGCCTGGATTTTTTTTTTTTTTTCCCCAGTTTTAGGCCAGGCTGAGTTTGAACCCACCACTTCTGGCATATGGGGCCGGTGCCCTACTCCTTTGAGCCATAGGCGCCACCCCGGATTTGTTATTACTAAGAACTGCCTTAGCTGTATGGTTTTTTTTTCCTGGTTCCATACAAAACACAGAATCATTTTTTCCAAGTCTTGAAAGTACGATGTTGGTAATGCATTGAATTGGTGGACTGCTTTGGGAAGTATAGATATCTAAACAATGTTGATTCTTCCCAACCATGAGCATGGTATGGTCTTCCATTTGTTAATTTCATCTGCGGTTTCCTTTCTTACATTTTCATAATTTTCTT